AGGTGAGTTCATACCCCTACACCCTTTTCGGTGTTTTCCATGTTTTCAGAGGGGGATACAAGCAAAAGTACAAGGGAATCTTGTACTCAAACTTTTTATTTTGTATGAAATGTTACATATTCAGTATGCTTTTAACACAGAAAACCGTATTACCAACCGTTTAACTTGCAGAGTTAGTTTTTCAAACTAATTGTGAAACTCATTATAAAGTGTTATATTTTATATTTCACAAAGGATTTCATGCTATTCATAAAACAGGATTTTTCCATATTATAGCTTGTAAATTCATTATTCTTAAGATTGGAGACATGTCCTCGGTAACACTCCATGAAGATACGCGAGTGGAGGACCGCTCCTGTAACCAGAATCTACTGGAGGGAGAACATGACTTGAGTGTATAGATCTATACGGGGTTGACTACCCCGCACCTTCATGCTAGCTACAGTGGGACCAACACGTCTACGGGTGACAAAAGTCATAAATGATATTGGCCCTGTTACGCACCACATCCAGTTCATAATATGGTTATGGAACTCGCAACTTAGATAATGGAGATTTACTTTTAGTAATAATGAACCTAGTGAACTAACCTCAAAGTAATAAATGTTTTGATTACTAGAGGGTATCAGTAATACCCTTAGGGTTTAGTTCACTACTTACCTATTAGTTTTATATACGTGTTTAAACTAATGTACTTTTTGAGGATAACCAAGCTTTCAGGGAAACTTCACTTAACGATACAAGTATGGTAGATACTTGTACACTTCATTCCGGATCGATAACCAACCACCAACTTTTAAGGAAAATAAGGGTTTTTCCTGGGATAACTTTACTTTTTATGAATAGGTTGTGTAACAAATGAATAACCAAACTACTTTTGTAAGAAAATATGAGATTTTCTTGGGAAACAACTTTTCATAAAACCAAAGGAAACTTATTCTTTTAGCAGAAACAAATCATACTTATGAACTCACCAACTGTATGCTGATATTTTAAAACTGCTTGTATTCTCAGGTTCTCGTTAGATAGGTATCCCGCGTTCTTTTGGAGAAGACGGAGCATATAGAAATCTCGTCTTTACTTTTGTTCATACTGATGTATATATAAAACATGTATTACTTTGATTTCAAACAAATGTAAATATTTCTATGTAATGTAATGGTTGTGTTTACTATGCTTGCTATGTACATTGGTTGTGATACTTTACATGACGTCCTCCGCCCCGGAACGTTTCCGCCATCGGTTTCGGGGTGTGGCAGTGTATAGGATTGGAATCCTAGTTGTAGATCCAATGTTGTTGGAGATATTTATTGGATTGATTTGAGAATCATCGAGAGACATGATGAACTTTTACAGATATCTGCAATATTCAAACTTGTAGATATTGAATTAGGGTTTTATCAAAAGCAAGAAATAACGTCAATTAAGAAATGACGGCTCCTGCAAATTCAATAAAAGCGGAAATCCTAAACAGATTCTTCCAATTGAAGAGATGCGTATGAATTACACAGTCTCCTACTCTGATACCAATTGATAAGCATTAATTTTATAAGATCGATAGATTCAATAGATATCAATAAGACAGTAATAATCAACGACAAGTAATTAAACAACAAGATGAATCAAACGTATGTTGAATGATTAATATGCTCCACCTCAGAAGAATTCAATGAGAATTGCTATTGTAGAGATGTGCTAGGGTTACAATACTCGATATCGAAAAGAATCAAAAAGCGTTAAAAATATAATGCATGCATGCACTATATATATAAGTAAACCCTAAAACTAAACATGGTTGGATAGACCCAAACCACGAGTACAAAATGGACCGAACCACTAAGGCCCAATGGTGCAACCCTTTAAACTCAACATATCCTAACTACTAGGAATGGTTGTCATACCACTTATAATATGGTTTTACGTGATTGTTACATCAAGAATCACATAAATGATATTGATTAAGTTGCGTATTGGTAATTTGATAGCATCTATGTTAATGGTATGTTATCAATATTTTGTTATGATAATTTAAAGGTAAATGATAATTATGATATGAATTGTCATCGTGGATTACATGTTTGACTTCATTAAGTCAAAATTTAGGTATTATGGTAGTTCATGGTAATCTATATCTTGAAATGCTAGAAATTAAAATGGTTGATATACATTGAGTGTTATGAGTTGAATGAAAATGGAAACTAGACACTGCTTAATATGTCTTTAAAGAGGTAATAAAAATAATGATTGATAGTTGAAGGTTAAAATTATATCATTAGTATTCTTGGATAGATTGTTAACATCTATCATATATAATTAGATAATGAGCAATGAGAATTGTACTCAAACAAGTATACAAGTTGTATGATATAATGTGTGAAAAGGTATTTGAATTAGTAAGTTGAAAGATAGACACATAATATAGTATCAAAATAAGTATAAACTACAAGAGTCGATTGAAAATCAAGGAAGAACAAGAGGAAGTGAAGGTTCAAGTTAACTCCATCTTAACCTCTTAATATGAGTGCATAGAGTTTTTTCTACCCATTTTAGGGTACATATCACTAATAATTTAACATATTTTCTACCATGAACTTTATAGTAGGAATAAATTATAAATGTATGTTTATAAATGTATTTTTTGAAATGTATGCATGTATGAAGTATTGCATGTTTGTATTATTATTATTATTATTATTATTATTATTATTATTATTATTATTATTATTATTATGCATTGAATATGTGACATCCCTAATTTCACGGTCCGAAAAGACATTTAATTTATTCTTATTTTAAAACAGATTATTCTTTATGTTGCCACCACTACAAAAACAGCATTTTACGACGCTCATTGCGCGTCGTAAAAGGCTCAGACGACGCGCAAATGTGTGTCAAGGAAGGCCCTGTCATAAAGAGAGACGACGCGCATTTATGACGCTCATTTATGACGCGCAATTATGACGCGCGTTTACGACACACAATGTGTATCAAGGAAGGCCGTGTCATAAAGGAAAACGACACGCATTCGCGTGTCGTAACCTTACGACGCACGTGTTAATGACACGCAATGCGTATCAAGAAAGCCCATGTCAAGAAAGGCCATGTCATAAATGAAGACGACACACATTTTTGCATATCATAAATTTAAATGTTTAAAAAAAATAAATTTATATATTTATTAATTTTTAAATTAAATTTGCATTTAATTTCTCATAATAGAAATAAAATACCATATACAAAAGATACAATCCATTGCATAATATAAAATAAAATTTCATACTCAAAAAATAAACTAAATTGCACAAATTATAATGTCATACAAAGAATCATTCAAATGTTAAACAAAAATAATACATTGCTAACATGGGTTATACATTCCTATAAAACTAACAAATAATCATACAACTCTGTTTGTTACTGGAAAGGAATGTCAAACATGATTACAAGTCTCCCTTAATCTTGATTACTCACCTGCTTAAGTAGAATGTTGTTGTTGAGAAGGTTACCTAGCAACAGAGAAAAACACAACACCTCTCCCATAATCACAACATCATTTACAAAGAAAGGGTTGTCAATTACTTTCCTTAAGACTTTCATTCAATCACAAAAATATTAAATAAAAGGGTGAAAAATTAACTTACTTTTGATAAGTTGATCTCCCTTAGAGAAAACACAGCTAAAGCATTGAACAAGACCCTATTTCAAAATTTTATAAATACACAAATCATGATACCTGATATTGGAATACACACTTTGAGACATGAATTAATACGATTAGATTAACCTGGATACATAGGAAGTAAAGATGGAAGGTGCCAGAACTCCAGGGGCATTGGGTTGGTTCCTTCCCACTCGCACACACCAAGCCAAAACTCCACTTAATCCAGCACCAAAATAAGCCTGCATTCAGAAAGGTGCAGGGGTGAGTCACAATTCAAGAATCTGTTAAAATTTGAGGAATAACATGTTCAACCAAAACAATATTAGAAAACAGGGTTAAATGTGAAACATAGCAATGTAATAATTATCAAGGTGCTGGAATACTTGAAATCTAGATTATTTGCTTATTTGTACATCCAGACGATTTTATCACGAACATAAGTCATGTTATCAACTTTCTAAAGAAGTATACCAAGACATTTGTAGGAGAAGAATACTCTCAATAAGATAATTTAATTAAAAAAATGTAATGATAATGATAATGAGTTCATACCTGTGAAGTAGTGCAGAATGCTCATCATCATATGTATAAAGCTCGTCCGTTTGGGGATCAAATGTTGCAGTTGTTTCAAGACTAGGAGCTTTTTGGTGAAATAAGCTTTAGACTAAATCAAATCTCCTATCGGAAAGCTATTTTAAACCCACATCTTATTCACACAGGTTTCTGCAGTTACAAGATCAAACATAGGAGGTTTTTCATTGTTTTTTCTTTATCTTTTATTCTTTTTATTTTATTAATTACATGTAAAAATTCCTTTTTTGTTTAATTTAATGTAAACTAGTATATATTATACTTAAACTTACAAAAAGCTTTTTTTTATATTTTAAGTGTTAGAAATTTAGTAACATTTGGAGATACATAAATATTAGAAAACTAACTTTAATATAATTTAAAACATAAGTATTTTATTTTAAAAAAGTGGAAAATTAGAATTTAATTTAGAAAATAAATAAAACTTGTATTTTAATTCTATACTATTAAATTCTTTTGGTTGAATTTCGAATATATCTATTTATATAAAAGAGAATAAGATATATATATATATATATATATATATATATATATATAATAAAAATTAATGGGAATCATAAAAAGGTTTTTGTTATTGTAGATATGTTCAGTGTTTTAGTTCTTGGATTGACAATGACGTGGCACAAACAAGTTGTACTAAAAAAAGCCTCCTATGTGGACCAACTAAAGTATTTTAAGCGAAAACCTGTTGCTCCTTTCTGCACAGAGTGTGTCTTAATTCTTCCAAAGTTTGAATAAGCATAGATTCTCATTCCCTAGCCTCCTTTAGGCCAATCTCTAGTTTAGTTCTAGCTTCATCATTTACTCGTGCTTCATCACTTAATGCATTCAGATAGTATTCCTTTTGTATTGCAACTTCAGACTGGTTTTTCTCTATTGTTTCTTGCAGCAGTTTCTCTGTGGCTGCTTTCTTACTCTTCAAATTTTCCACTTTGTTCTCTTCAGCCTGAAAGTTATTGAAAAAGTTAAATAAATTGAAGGATGAGAGAAGAAATGATAAAAATATGACAGGACATTGAAACAAGAAAGAAGAAGAAAATTCGGGTATGATGAACTATCTGTTATTCATCTTATACTCTACTTGTGATCCTTGTCAATGGTAAAAGTAACCTAACACTGTTCTGAAATGCTAGCTATTATCATTTAAAGAGCTTCATAATGTATATAATTTTCAAATCATGATATGTCAAAAACTCAAGACAAGAAACTTTGCTATGTCATCACTTTAATGTCATATTTTCATGTACAATAAAAAAAATCGGAATTTTTTGTTCTAGTTATAGTTTATTTTCATATATGAAAAAAATAGTTAAATTTTTTTGCAGTTAATAAATAGTTTTTTGTTTTTGTTATCTTCAATAGAACAAAATCTAATAATAGATAATAATTTTTTTAATAGAATAATATTGGGTTGCTGATCAAGCATAAAGAATTTAAAAAGATAAGTTGGTATTTGAATGAGGGGGAAAGTAGATTTTTGATGTTAAATGGGATGAAAAGAAAGGTGGTGGCCCAAAATAATAGAACCAAAACCAGAAACATTTGTTAGATGTAATTCATCCACACGCATGGCATGTATGTAAAATATTTTGTGGAACAAAATATAGTCGCAGGGTAGAGAAGTAATTACCTGTAGCTTGCTTATAAATCCTTTCTTCTCTTCTTCAAACTCTCTAATCTAGGGATCTCGCAAAACAATGTTCAAATAATAAGAGAATGTACAGCTGAATATTTATAGGGTCCAAAGGAAAGATAGTATATGACATAACATACCTGTGCCCGTAGTTTTCTTATTGTAGACTCTTGAATAGCTTGTTTCTTTGAAAGCTTTTCACCTATATGAATGAAAAAGGAACAACATCATCATCTGTAGTATAGAAAATGTGGTCTTTGAAAGCTTCATCTAGAACTTGGGAAACCTCTTTTCTAGCAGTTAGCTATTTCATTACCCTCTTCCATAACTTGAGTAATTATGTCATCCTTTTCCTTTAGAAGCGCGGTGGCATCACTTCTTTTATTTTGCTCTCTACGTAGTGTATCCCTTTCTCTTGTAAGAGCATAAACCTGAGTCATTGAAGCTGAGTTAATATACAACAACTAAACATCAGAAATATTAGTTATATGGACGCTTGAACATTGGATCAATGACCAAGTTATGTTTGTCCAAACAAACATCCATAAGCATGTTCATAACTAAGACTTGGGAGTTGGGAAGGACAAGAAATTACCCAGTGGAGATTCAAGTTCAGCCATGTCTTGTGGTGTTAGATTCACAGATAAAGCTCCAATGTTTTGCTGAAGGTTTTCAATTTTAGTGGTTCCTGGTATGGGCACAACATCTTTCCCCTGGTGGTGAACCCACGCCAATTCTAGTTGTGATGGAGTGCACCCTTTCTTTACTACAATCACACTAACTCGTTCGTACAACATTTTATTATTCTCAGGATTCTCAGGTAGGAACCTTGGTAGATTCTACAAAAAGAGCAAGTATATATATATAAACACAATCTCTCAGTTTAATGATTTTATATTATAATTGATAAAGAATCTGATTCAATTTGTTTTATGCAGACCTGACGAAAATCGCCCTCTGCCAAATTGTAACGCCCGCAGATCCAGGCTAGTCAATTTAGAGGCAATAGGGGTCGAAAACGAATTTTCTACAAAAAGATTATTTAGAATAAATAATATTAACCAAGTTGTATAATATGTCACAAGGTTTCCGTACATATAAAGAATGCCGAAATCCGAGTTATAACGAAGAAGTTATGACCCGTCGAAGTTTCGCGTCGGAACCGGCACGGCGCCGGGAAGCGTAAAATAGTAAATTTATGATAGAGAGAGATTTAGCCTTAGCGCTCTAAAGGAAAGTCGTAGAATATGTTAAACTAAGAACATCGATAAAAAGAACGCCCAAATCTGACTTCGTATGAAGAAGTTATGATTTTTCGAAGTTTCGGATTAGCGGTGTACAACCCGAAATTCGAATTTTAGATCGATTGATTTTTAGCCGACACAACCTAAACAAGAATCGAAGATCTCGTTATTAGTAGTGTAACGACAAAAATACAGACAAAAATGGACATCGGATAAAGAAGTTATGAGATTTTAACGGACCAATCCTGTCCCGGCCTGTTAAAAATATAACTTTAAAAATAAAGTCAAAATTAGCCGACGGAGTCTAAACGAAAGTTGTAGAGTACGTCTCCACCTACGCGTGGATATAAAGAACGTCAAAAACGGAGTTCGTATGAACGAGTTACAAATTATAATAGCATATTTACGTATTAAAATAAAGTATAAATCATGTATACGTACACACATATATATACATATGTATATATCATTAGAAAGGTATCGACGATGTAGTCATTATAAGACTAATGTTGAGTTCTTTTGACATTAGTTTAGTACATATATCATTAAATCCATTTAAAATAGTATTATAGAGGGGTGTTTAGTTGTTTATATAACTAAAAGGTCATTAAGTAATTATGGAGGGTAGTTTTTGAAAATTCAATTAGTATAAATAAGAGCCTTGGGCTCTCATATTTCTTGCACCATTCTCTTGATTCAAGAGTCTTTCTCTCCTTATCCCCCGAGCATTTCGGTCCCTCGTGATTCGACTTCTCTTTCTGTAGTTTTAGTATAGTAAGGTGAGCGCTGAAGTACTACACGAATCTTTCTTAGAAAGATTCAGCGACGAAGTTCTGCCCCTGCAGAGCCCGACTCCTAGCTAAAATCCCCTTGAAAGTAAGTTATGTTTACCATATTTTAAATATAGTTTATATTTAAAATTAGTATTGTTATTATAAATTTATAATAAATATTTGAGCTATTATTATGACTTATATAAGTTTCGTTATAATATCTTTTAACTACTCGCGGTACGGGGAATCTGGTTTAAAGTGCCGCATAGGGTTGTTGGATTTCAGAAGTGCTATACGCCAAAATTGTGCTGCCCTCCGGTGTTTTATGTCTGGCCCCTGTCTGTACATAGTAGTAGGAAAGTATTGTTTAAACGCTTATATAATAATAATAATAAGACTAATAATTAGTGACGGTAATATTAGACTAAAATCTAGTGGTGATAATATTAGGTTTCGAAGCGTTGTCCGAGTACCGAGTCACCACCTTCTCAGGTGAGTGCATAGTCCCTTTCATCTTACACATAGATATGAAGTATTTTATATAAACTACGTGTTATGTGTGCATATTATCTGAATACTTGATGTCTATGCTGGATGAACGTTTTATACATGTTTTAAAGAATTTAAGCTGTATACGTATTTTATATATACGAATATGTTGGGTATGAGATGGGTAGATGAATGATGAGAGATAGAAGATGATACATTGGCAGCTATAGACTTAGTGCCTATGGGACAAACACCGGTAGCTATGGACTTAGTACCAGTTAAACGTTGGTAGCTATGGATTTAGTACCTGTTGGGAATTGGTAGCTATGGACTTAGTACCTGTTGAACATTGGTAACTATGGACTTAGTACCTATTAGATAAAGACTGGTAGCTATGGATTTAGTACCTGATGAATAGACCATAGCAGCTATGGAATTAGTGCTTTATGAATGAACATTGGCAGCTATGGAATAAACGAATGCAGGATAGATGACTCTTAGGTTAAATCCTTAAAGAGTAAAGAAGATAATGGGGATGGGTAATTGGGTTGATTGTTTGATTGAACATAGTAATTATATTATTGTGGGTTGAAAACCCTATGTACTCACCAGGTTTCCCAACCTGACCCACTCAGTTTATGTATATCACAGGTGACGAAGTGAAGTGACATTACACTGAGAGATTTAAAAGAGATGTAGATCACTAGTGTAAATCCTTGTAAGTTCTGTTTATGCTTATGTTTCGGTATTAACGATGACATCCCAAACATTTTAAAATGAAATAAATACGTTTCTTCGAAAATGTTTTAATAACGTATTTACCATGTTTTTCTGGGAACAAATTCCACAACCTTTTTATAAAATGAAGTACTCTGATTTTTATAAAGCATAAAAAAAAAATCGGTCTTTTCTGGCCGTGATTTTGGGGATGTCACACAAATTCTCAGCCATCTTTGAATCCTTTTATTAGTTTATCAATTCATGATCAAAACGATTATATATAGTGTTTGAAATATTATATTATTTAGCCTTTAAACTAAAAAAAAAAGTCGAATAATGATAACCTGCAAGTAGGAACAATTTCATCTACCACATCCCTGGACCATAAAGACACTCTAGTTGAACAACAGTTATTGGGTGCACAACATGGGCTCTTCTAATGGTTGAAGCCGAAGCTTCTGATAATCCTTCGTATTTTATCTTCCCTTCTTCCACCAATTAATTTCTTCATTTCTCCCATCTTTCAAGCAAAGAAATTAACCAATCTCAGATGCTAAGTAGGAAATAGAAACATGAAATGATTAATCTGAAATCAAACATACCGTGATTTCAATGGGCACACGAGTGTCAATTCGGTGCTGATAATATAGATCATTCGATCTCATCCGTTTACCTTCAATCACCAAAAAAGATTCATGGAAAGCATTAAATCTAAGAAAGAATACGACCTGTGAGGTTCAAGAAAACCCCATCCATTTACCTTCAATCACCAAAGACCACCACTTCTTCATTCTTCTTCCTTCGATCTGTCCAAACCCCAAAGGTCCTCCGATTTCTACCGATGACGGAGTCTAAGAAGCCAAGGAAGGCTCACCGGGAACCAATAATTTCCTCTTCCTCATGAATAGATCGATCATCCTGATCTACCAGTCGTTACTTGCCCTACTCCATCGGACTAGTTGAGTCCCCTCCCTACATGTAATCTGCTGGCGACAAGGAAGAACAGCCAAGGAGACTGCCGGAGCACCTCCCCCCCCCCAAGTTGTGGCAGACAAGAGAAGCGTCGCTGCTTCTCCATTCTCCTTTTGTCAAATCGATCCTGCACCAGAGGTGCTTCCCCTTTCTCGATTGATTTCCATCATCGAGCCACCATGGCTCCTTGCGTTCCCATCATCCTTTCTCGATAGATGAACCACGACCACCGAACCAAAACTCCCGCTACCTTCGTCATTCTAATTCCCCTTTTTCGATTTATCTGTGGGGAATAAGAATCAAACGAGAATCAATATTTGGATTCTAATATTGAGACTTGAGAGTATAATACGTAATTAGGGCTTTTTCTGAAAATTTCAACATCGAGTGGGGAATAAGAAAACTATTGGCGAGTATTCTCAATAATAGCAGAGAGATGAAGAAGGTGAAATTACAGCAACGATGAAGTAGATGAATGGAAATCAGAAGCCCTTTTTCTTGATTGAGATGATGAAGTCGAGAGATGGAGACAAAATCGTAACCTTCGATCTTTGATTGAGAAGTTGCACAACAGTGTGAGGAGAATGAAAGATGCGTGAAAATGCTTAGGGCAGGGAGGATAGCGGGCTTTTCTAATTTTTTGGCTTTTCTTTTCCCGCTTGTAACTAAGGAACGCGCGTTCATTAAAATTATAAAGCGACACATATAGAGGGCGCACATTTAAGGTACAGCGCCCTCCGTGTTTTTAATTTTTTTTTTTCTTGTGACACTAATTTAAAGGCATGCAATAATGTGTGACCTAAATCCTTAAATTTTCTGAAGAGATGACACTTTTTTAATGTCACTCTCGTTTGCGTAACATATATTAATGAGTGTCGTAATTTGGGCGTCATAAAAGGCTATTTTTCTAGTAGTGTGCAGAATTTGTACCACAAAAGTATTTCCAAAGAAATGTTTTTCATTTATGATTAAAGAGTTGGGATGTCATAACTGATACAAGAAACATAAGCATAACATAGTCCTTACAAGCCTTGTAATATCTTATTATACTAGTGATCTATATCTTTTTGAGTCTCTCATCAGATCATTATCTACATACATTCATATCGCTACTTTTGATACAAAGAAATTGAGTAGGCCGAGTTAGGAAACCTGGTGGTATACATAGGGTTTTCAATCCCATAATGTTTTAACAATATATATTTTAAAACAAATAAGATCAAATTTTATCATTAACACAAGTATATCTTGTATAAACAATCTATCCCATCTCGTTGATCCTCATATATTGATCCTATATAACGACCTTACCATATTTAACCATAAGGATTAATGTGAAAAACAATTTGACTACGTTGCTTGAAGGATTCCTTAACAGTGGGCGAGGATTAATAGAGACATCAAGGACAATAATGAAACACTCGAATTGTTATACCTAATCTTTTCTCTCGAATCAATGATAAATGAATGTACCTAATCCATACTCTCAGATCAATGATAAATAACTATGCATAAGCCATACTCTCGGATAAGTGATGCATGAATATACCTAATCCATACTCTCTGATCAGTGATAGGTGACTATCTACACTCTTGGATCAGTGATGATTGACTATACCTAATTCATACTCTCGGATTAGGAATGAATGATTATACCTAATCCATACTCTTGTATCAGGAATGAATGACTATACCTAATCCATACTTACAGATCAGGAATGTCAGAGCTCTACACTCTATTCATTTCTCTCACAAACTCTTAAGAAGATACTACCCAATATCCAACTCAGTTAAAGTTAAGCCTCATTTTCAAGTCTTATCTTATCTCTTGGAAGACTACAACATTCAAATCTTAATAACAACTCTACTTAGGCAACACTATCCTACCTTAGTGTAATTATTTGACACCGAGTATTTAAAGAATAAATACACTTTAATTTTTCTCTCTAATAATATTTCTATCATTAATATCACATTATATATATATATATGTGTATATATATATATATATATATATATATATATATCTTAACACATATAGAACTATAACTAGTTCGCATATCGTATATCATCAAATACATGTCTGAAACATAATCCATGTAATAAGCATATAGCTCATATATGAACTTTCTTAAGATATTTAATACTTTAATTAATATTTGTATTAAAATCAATCATATGAAGGGGACTATGAACTTGCTTGTTAAAAGTGGATGATTTGTAGTTAGGTCAGCGCTTCGCCTAACACATTAGTTTTTCCTTTAAAAGATAAGGTTTTCTAGAGAAAAATTAGAACTCCATGGTCAGAACTTCATTGCTAAATGTTTCTTCTAAAAATATTCTTGGAGCGTTCTAGCACTCAGCTTACTATACTTAAACTATAGAAAGGGAAGTCAAATCACGAGGGAACGAAATGATCGAGGGTAAGAAGAAAAAAGCTTATGAAAGAGACATGGTACAATTAGTTCACATATCATATATCATAAAATACACGTCTAAAACATAATCCAGGTACTAAGCATATAACTCATATATGAACTTTCTTGTAGATATTTAATACCTTAATTAATACTTGTATTAAAATCAATTTCATGAAGGGGACTATGCACTCACTTGTTAAAAGTGGATTATTTGTGGTTAGGTCAGCGCTTCGTCTAACACATTAGTTTTTCCTTTAAAAGATAAGGTTTTCTAGCGAAAGCTTAGGACTCCGTGGTCAGAACTTCGTCGCTAAACCTTTCTTCTAAAAAGATTCTTGGAGCGTTTTAGCACTCAACTTACTATGCTTAAACTATAGAAAGAGAAATCAAATCACGAGGGAACGGAATGATCGAGGGTGAGAAGAGAAAAGCTCTTGAAAGAGACTTGGTATAAGAAATATGAGAGCCTAGAGACTCATATTTATAGTAATTAAAATTTAAAAAAGCACTATTTATAGTTACTTAAACGACCAAACGACCATTTATAACACTATTTTAAATGGATTGAATGACATTTGTACAAAATTAATGTCAAAAGTATTCAACATTAGTATTATATCAACAACATCATTGATGCATTTCTAATGATATATAAATATGTATGTATGTGTGAATGTGTGTGTGTGTCTATATATATATATATATATATATATATATATATATATATATATATATATATATATATATATATATATATATACATATATATATATATACATATATATATATATATATACATACATATATATATATATATATATATAAATGAGTTATACATTATTTTACTACATAAATATGCTATTATAAATTGTAATTATTCATATAGACTCTGTTCTTGACGTTTTGTACAATTACAGATTCCTATTTACAAGGACATCAACTTTCATTTAGACTCCATTGGCTAATTCTCATTCTATCTCAAATTTACAAATATTTATCGAATTCGTCGCGCTCGAAGAGTAGGGATCAAGTTTCGTCCATATCTTTTGCATACGAGCTCTTTTCTCTAAGTTCTCTATATCATCGGATTCGAAGTTTCATAGACATCAACTTTTGTTTAGACTTCATCGGCGAATTTTCAGTTCATTTTTCATGATTCGGTTCGAAGAGGCTTAGACTATAATTAAAGTTGTGAAATTTATAACTTTCTCATACGAATCTCGTTTTCTACAATCTTTATATCCTTAGCCTTGTGTCGACGAGTACTAAAGCTTTCATTTACATCATTTTGGCTAAAAAGTAACCCATATCCGGTTCACTTTTTATGATGCATCTTGTCATATCGGTTTGAACGCAAAACTTCGATAAATCATAACTTCCTCATACAAAGTCACATTTGGGTGCTCTTTATATCCACGAGATCACTGTCACGGCTACTACAAAATTTGTTAAGAGTATTTATGTGACATCCCTAATTCACGGCCATAAAAGACCGATTTGTTTATGCTTATTTAAAAAATCATAGTATCCTTTTGAAGAATAATATTACGAAAGTTGTTCCCATAAAACATGATAATGATATTATCAAATCATTTATGAAGAAATGTATTTTATTTATATTAAAACATTGGGATGTCATCGTCAATACAAAAACATAAGCATAACAGAATATTACAAGCCTTACAATAATTAAAATATGGCCTAATACTCCTTGAAGCTTTCAGCAAAATGTATCTTTAATATCGCTACCTGTGATACAATAAACTGAGTGGGTCAGGTTGGGAAACCTGGTGAATATATAGGGTTTTCAACCTACAATAATATAATTATTATGTTTAACCATCAAGTAATTAACCTAATTTCCTATCCCCATTATCTTCTTTATTCTTAAGGACCTACCCTAAGGATCATCTATGCTAACAATACTAGTTCAAGGATTCCTCCATAATACTTGTCAGTAGGTATTCTTCAATATTAATTCCTAAGGATTTGTCCTAAAGAATAGTCATGAAGCCCATTGCTTCCAGTGTTTATCTAGTAGACACTATGTCGATAGTTGCTGGTGTTATCCATTAGACACTAAGTCCATAGTTGCTAATGTTTATCTAATAGGCACTAAGTCCATAGTTGCCAATGTGTATCTAATAGTCACTAAGTCTATAGTAGCCATTGTTCGTCTATAAGACACTAAATCCATAGTTGCGAATGTTCATCTATAGTGCACTAAGTCCATAACTGCCAATGTTCATCTATAGGGCACTAAGTCCATAGATACTAGGGTTCATCTCCTTTATTAACTGTATTATTTTAGGGAGTCCACCAACAATACATGTCAATGGGTTTTTTTAGAGTACATCTAGTGAATACTTAGTTCAAAAACACCTACAGGTTGTGAGCCTACTAACATTCCACTTGACTATCTAGAATATTCTGTGGTTGTTATTTATACTCTGCTAGATGACATCATCTTTAAATTCAAGGTCTGTCATTATCTATTTCATCTTTCATCTCTCATCATCTATATGATCTTTCATCTCTCATCATCTATATCATCTTTCATCTACCTATCTATACCTAATATGTTTATAGGTATAAAAATAAATATATAGTTTAATCAAGTAAAACATGTATAAATCATTCATAAAGCATAGATATCAGGAACACAGATAATAAGCATATATATCAT